TAACACACTTGGGATCTGAAATAAACAAATACTAACATAGTGCAAGCATTTATAATTTTACAGTGATTACGATGACAAAGTCAATATGAACCATAGATTATTCATAGTATATAACAGGATCTAAAGGCGATTGCATCGATGTAATCGCGCAAACGCACCGATGCAATCGCCTATAAATCGCAAGTGTAGCGATGCAATCGCGCGTTTCACGAACGCGCTTTTGCATCATTGTTACAAGTCGCCGTGTGTAAACACTCTTTGATTGCTTTTGGAAGTTATATGTAAATTTTACAGTATTGACAAGCGTGCTGTCTGTTGACCAAACGAAGACTGACTCGCGATTGACTCTCTGTTTGTGATTTTTTGCCCTATAGGTTCGGACCCTTGTTAGCGCGGACCCGACATCCATTTATTGGTAAGTTTAATACGATTTATATTAAGTAATAATTAGCTATAAATCTTAAGTAAAAACTATGATGCTCTGGTAAGCCGAAAAGCGCTATCTCAATTTTGAGAAAAATCGACTTTTTGTAAGCCGTTTAGATTTGACACTCCAGGCAGTCTCCGATTGGGGCAATGCCAATCTTGTCAATTTAACGCTACCAATACGCAGGCGTGTCTACTCTCCACAAAACGGAGTCCCTTTAAGTTAATTCGTGATATATCCATACCGATAGCCGACTGTCTCTAGCTACTTGGAATGGACCTGTGTCGTCCAATTTGAACTTCGGCAGATACATTGAATCCATGGCCAAAATTGCAGCAAGGAAGCTTGGGATTCTTTCCAGGGTGAGGCGTTATTTTACACCGGGACAGTTGCTTCAGCTGTACCAAGCACAAGTCCAATCGTGCATGGAGTACTGCTGCCACCTTTAGAATGGGTCTGCTACATATCAACTAGCCACTTTGGATTCAATTGACAACCGTCTCAAGAGGCTTATAGGTGACTCAGAATTAGTGGAGGCGAAGCTGCAGAGTCTTGAACACCGCCGTAAAGTTGCCTGCTAATCGGTATTTTACAGGGTATATCACGGAGAGTGTGCGATGGAATGACACGATTTAATTCCGGCTTCCCCTTTCCGTCACCGGGGGACTAGGCGTAGGCTTGGGTTCCACCCCTATGTTGTGGATATTCCAAAGATTCACACGAAGCGTTACGCTTCCACATTTATATGGCGAACGGCTATGGAGTGGAATTCCCTGCCTGCAGACTTGTACCCTGAGCGTTATAACTTGGGTCTTTTCAAGGCGAGAGCTAATAGGCATTATTTAGGTGTGCATGCTCCATCGTCGAACTCATCGTCACTTTCCATCAGGCGAGATGGAGGTCAAATGCGCACTTATATTTTATTAAAAAAAACTGTATCTTCGCACCTTCAAAAATAAATCTTTTTGACATCTTTAAAACTTATTTATACATATTTTTGACTAATAGATTTATTGACATACCTAAATTATACATAAATTGTACCATTATACCTATATTGTGAGATACCCCTATTTTGATTATAAAGAAAGCCGCCAAATCTATTAGAAATTTAAGGAAAAAATGAGATATAAAAATACATCTTAATGGTTTTTTTAATGTTTTAAGTAAGATAGCGCTATTTCTATTATATCATTAGATGCGAAATTATTATACGAGTAGCTAGTGAATGGTATAAAAAAGAACCCAAAAGGGCCTAACTCAGAGATAGCCCCTTTCGGCTTAGCAGGGCAGTACTGGTGACTCGGATTATTAACTCCTAAGTATTTACACAGAATGCAAAAGCCTTTAAAAGGGTTAGCCATATTTAAACAAAATACATAGTTTAAAGATATATTACCTGTATAATCCATCTCCTACAGGTGTCAATGCTCTCTCAAGAACGTGTTTCGCAGCTTCTTCTGTCAAACTTCGAGTGTTCATCATTAGATCCTTTGCCTCAAAAATGTCGGGTATACATTAATTATTTTATACGTTATACACTTTATTGAACCATGTGGTCTACAGTGTCAAATTGCATTTCACGTGTAAAGGGAGTCAGACTTATTTCTAACATCGAACGAGTTCTCTCTACACTACATTATAAAACAATTTTTTTTATGCAAATATAACTTGCGCAACCAAATTTGTATGAGGACCACTGCGTTCGGTGTATGGTGTCCGTTAGAGCAGTTTTATTTAAGAGCGTTTACACACGTCGACTTTTAGCAGCGAAGCAAACACGTGATTGCATCGCTACACTTGCGATTTATAGGCGTGTATCGATGCAATCGCCTTTAACTCCCAAGTGTAACGATGCAATCACGCGCTTGTATCGCGTTTGCATCGCTAGAAGGTAGTCGATTAGCGACTGCGTCGTGTTAGCATCGCTGCTATAAGTCGCCATGTGTAAAGACCATTACATCAAAGTCATTCGCCAAATATGGCGATTATAGCTAATGATTTTATTAATAAAGGCTTAAATAATGAACTAACGAAATAAAATGCCAACTTCCAGGGTATTATAAAGCCTCAAGGCACAGTCCTCATTATTACATTTTCCTACCTTTTAATAATTAAAAACAGACTTCCCTTTTTTCTATTTCTTCTATATTAAACATCTTTAATTGACTATATTTACCATTATAGACGTAAATGCAAAGTGATCAATAACTATATTGTTTAATTAATCATATGTGTAAGAAGTAATAAAGTTGATTTAGAAGTATTGGACGTGAACAATAACTCGTGGCTGATGCGTGGTCGATCAGATATTAACTGTTTGTTGAGGTGAACTGTCACAACGTGACAAAGAGACGAGACTTGAAATTGTATGGAGCCAAGAAAGTACGTGCTGGAAAGAACCCTAAGCAAGCACAGCTTATATCTTGCAAGACACGGGTGTATAACATGCAAGACCATTCTTGTCTTTGATTTTTGTGTTCTTTAGCTTTGTAGATTATTAACGGTTAAAATAGTTGAGTGATATATTTATGAACTGTAGAAATTTCGCTCAACAGTTTTATTAAATTATGAATACAAAAATCGAACACAGAAAAAAATCGTTCTATCTAGCCGGATTCGAACCGACATCTCCTAGCAAACCATGCCAGACGCTATGCCAACTAAGCCACGACTCTGGCCGGATAAAGGATTTTTTTCTAAGTGTTCGATTTTTGTATTAATAAATTATAACAAACTAATGGAGTAATTTTACAAAAAATAATTGAATGATGGTGGTGAAACATTCCGAAATTCAATAAAAATTTAGTTTTATTAAATCCATATTGAATTCCTTTTTTTTTCTCGTTTAGTGTAATACAGCTCGAGAGCTTTCTTTTCGTGTATTTTATTTATTTTTCTATTTTTGCGTTGTTGATGCAAGTTTTGTTCACTCTTAAACAATGGTTGCGCAATGAAATAAGATCTCCACTACATTTAATTTATTGTATGTTCTATTGTAAAAATTGTAAGTGGCCTAGTAAATGAATAAAAGTACGTTGATGAGCCATTAAGTTCAAAAAGTCTGCTTATTTCTGTCTAATGGGAAAATGTTACCTTTTCGTAAGTATATTTCGGTGCAGTGTCGACTTTAGCGGTCTGTTTCTTGTAGCGCTCGCTGTTATAATAGTCCCCATAGAATATGTGGTACCAATGTCCAAAGTTATCCACTGACCACGACTCGTGCGCCGGTACGGGATCTAGCTCCACCATTCGTGAGATACAGCCCGGGTAAGCGATATTGAAATATTTACCTGAAACGATCGTCAGACTCAATCGTGTTTCTTGAACAGTTAAAATTACAAGATTTCGGAGTCAGATTAAATTCGCAGCGACAGGGTCAGTTCTGTTAGCTTAGATTCCTCTTCCATAATATTTTATTCCATATCCTTCACCTAGCAATGCAATTTTTATCTGTTGTACAAATGATGAAAAACGTTACATATTGCACTGTTAATACAATAGTGTATTAACTCAAAAAGCGTATTTTTTCAGAATCGATCAGAAATTAATTACTCACTTCCCGTGAAAGATTATTAAAATTTATATTAAACTATAAAATATAGGTTAAACTTTATAACAGACCAAATATATTTAAAAAGAAAAAAGAAAAAATAATTTCGTCTTTTGAATAAGGACTGTTTTGTACAGAACTAGCTCAGAAAAAGTTTCTCTCATTTTGAGTTAAGTAGATATCTTTGAATTGTTTCTCACAACATTCTAATGACGGTTATATTGACGTGTAGAGAATCAAATTTTACGTTTAACAATAGTATAATTTCGATTTTCACATATTTTGAGTTACAACACTATTGTAATAGCAAAGCGATACATAAGTACTTCGTATTACAGACAACTATTGTATGTCACTCGCCGCCATGACGGCTGTCCGGCTGTTTTCTGTCAAGACACCAAAAAGTCGTCAAAATGTATCGCATTTTTTATGAAATATACACGTGTTTAATTAATTTGAGACATTTGTCATTCATTTTCTCAGCTATCAAGTTCAATATAACGGAATGAACATTATGCCATAAGATTGGGAACTAAAAATAAGTACACCTAAGGCCATAAAACACTATTTCTATCGTCTCTCTTAAGAGATTACTTAATCTAGGCATAGTATGATATAATAAACTTTAAATCCCAAAGATCTGAAAAGCACTGCCATCGCGCCCATCACCCTGTGACATAAGTTGACAAGTCCCATGTGCCTGTAATTTAACCAGCACTCATTCTGATCACATTACTGCTTGGCGGCAGAATTAGGTAAGATGGCAGTACTTCCTTGGACGAACTCTTTCACAAGGTGCTTCACTGCTACTAAAAGCTTCTTGTTTCATTAATTCATAACTTGACATGGTTCTAACCATGTAAAGTTTTGAACTAATGTAACGCCTGACTATTTTATCCAACAATATAGAGCACAACACTTGCAACACGAGGTATGTAATAATGTGCCAGCTAACCACTCCAATTGCCTGGTCTCAAATTAGGGAATTCCCTGCACTCTGAGTACCAGAACAATCGAATTCACTTTGGGGCACTTCGCATAATACCCAGACCGGAACCAATTTAGAAAAGTTAAGTTCCCACATTGGTTCTACCGGAATCAAACATAATTAAAATTCTAACATGGATTACATGACGGTCGAGCGGTTGGAGTCCCGCCATTTAATTCGTTTGTGGTGAGAGTGCCGACCGAATAACTGTTGACCTTCAGGAAGGAGGAGTTTAGGCCGAAGGGAGTCGTATATCGGGGATTTCGTGGCTGGTTACTTGACACCAGATTGCGCTACACGTCGCCGACAAGTGTAATTCGTGTAAAAGTTACATCGAGTATATGACCAGAAATAGAGACGAAATGTCATTGAATTTGTTTGAAAACTATTCTGCCATATCATTACAGTGACAACTGCGCTCCGATTGGCCAGCCCGAATTCGAA